ATGCTTATATTATTATTATTATTATTATTCACAACAAGATTAATAAACAGCAAACAAGATCACTATGCTATTATTATTATTATTATTATTCACACAAGATCACTATGCTTATATTATTATTATTATTATTATTCACACAAGATCACTATGCTTATATTATTATTATTATTATTCACACAAGATCACTATGCTTATATTATTATTATTATTATTCACAACAAGATTAATAAACAGCAAACAAGATCACTATGCTTATATTATTATTATTATTATTATTCACACAAGATCACTATGCTTATATTATTATTATTATTATTATTCACACAAGATCACTATGCTTATATTATTATTATTATTATTATTCACACAAGATCACTATGCTTATATTATTATTATTATTATTCACAACAAGATTAATAAACAGCAAACAAGATCACTATGCTTATATTATTATTATTATTATTATTCACACAAGATCACTATGCTTATATTATTATTATTATTATTATTCACACAAGATCACTATGCTTATATTATTATTATTATTATTCACACAAGATCACTATGCTTATATTATTATTATTATTATTATTCACAACAAGATTAATAAACAGCAAACAAGATCACTATGCTATTATTATTATTATTATTATTATTCACACAAGATCACTATGCTTATATTATTATTATTATTATTCACACAAGATCACTATGCTTATATTATTATTATTATTATTCACAAGATCACTATGCTTATATTATTATTATTATTATTATTCACAACAAGATTAATAAACAGCAAACAAGATCACTATGCTATTATTATTATTATTATTATTCACACAAGATCACTATGCTTATATTATTATTATTATTATTATTCACACAAGATCACTATGCTTATATTATTATTATTATTATTATTCACACAAGATCACTATGCTTATATTATTATTATTATTATTCACACAAGATCACTATGCTTATATTATTATTATTATTATTATTCACAACAAGATTAATAAACAGCAAACAAGATCACTATGCTATTATTATTATTATTATTATTATTCACACAAGATCACTATGCTTATATTATTATTATTATTATTATTCACACAAGATCACTATGCTTATATTATTATTATTATTATTATTCACACAAGATCACTATGCTTATATTATTATTATTATTATTATTCACACAAGATCACTATGCTTATATTATTATTATTATTATTCACAACAAGATTAATAAACAGCAAACAAGATCACTATGCTATTATTATTATTATTATTATTATTCACACAAGATCACTATGCTTATATTATTATTATTATTATTATTCACACAAGATCACTATGCTTATATTATTATTATTATTATTATTTTATTATTATTATTATTCACACAAGATCACTATGCTTATATTATTATTATTATTATTCACAACAAGATTAATAAACAGCAAACAAGATCACTATGCTATTATTATTATTATTATTATTATTATTCACACAAGATCACTATGCTTATATTATTATTATTATTATTATTATTATTATTATTATTATTCTGACACAAAAACACAGTATGTTGATCTTGTATATTGTCATCATCATCATCATCATCATCATCATCATTATCTTTGTTTCTACCCCAAGGTGGACACAATGACATGACACAACCCAATACATTTTTTAAAAAGTTGACGAATATTTAAAAATAAATAAGTAAATATTTGGTGTCATATCTACTAAGTGCAATCAAAATTACACAATAACAACAATAATAGGATTTCTGTATTACCCGCCTCTCCTTGCAGCTCCCAATCCAATAATAATAATAATAATAATAATTGATTACCTGCCTCTTCTTGCGGCTCCCAATCCCCCAATACTATTAATAATAATAGTAATAATAATAATAATAATAATAATTGATTACCTGCCTCTCCTTGCAGCTCCCAATCTCCCAATACTAATACTACTAATAATAATAATTGATTACCTCTTCTGGTGGCTCCCAATCCTCCAATACTATAGATAATAATAATAATAATAATAATAATAATAATAATAATAATAATAATTGATTACCTGCCTCTTCTTGCGGCTCCCAATCCCCCAATACTATTAATAATAATAGTAATAGTAATAATAATAATAATAATAATTGATTACCTGCCTCTCCTTGCGGCTCCCAATCTCCCAATACTAATACTACTAATAATAATAATTGATTACCTCTTCTGGTGGCTCCCAATCCTCCAATACTATAGATAATAATAATAATAATAATAATAATAATAATAATTGATTACCTGCATCTTATTGAAGCTCCCAATTCCCCAATACTAATACTAATACTAATAACAATTGATTACCTGCCTCTTCTTGCGGCTCCCAATCCCCCAATACTATTAATAATAATAGTAATAATAATAATAATAATAATAATTGATTACCTGCCTCTCCTTGCAGCTCCCAATCTCCCAATACTAATACTACTAATAATAATAATTGATTACCTCTTCTGGTGGCTCCCAATCCTCCAATACTATAGATAATAATAATAATAATAATAATAATAATAATAATAATAATAATAATTGATTACCTGCCTCTTCTTGCGGCTCCCAATCCCCCAATACTATTAATAATAATAGTAATAATAATAATAATAATAATAATAATTGATTACCTGCCTCTCCTTGCGGCTCCCAATCTCCCAATACTAATACTACTAATAATAATAATTGATTACCTCTTCTGGTGGCTCCCAATCCTCCAATACTATAGATAATAATAATAATAATAATAATAATAATAATAATAATTGATTACCTGCATCTTATTGAAGCTCCCAATTCCCCAATACTAATACTAATACTAATAACAATTGATTACCTGCCTCTTCTTGCAGTTCCCAATCCCGCAATACTATTAATAATAATAATAATAATAATAATAATAATAATAATAATAATAATAGATTACCTGCCCCTTCTTGCAGCTCCCAATGCCCCAATACTATTATTATTATTATTATTATTATTATTAATAATAATAATAATAATAATAATAATAATAATAATTGATTACCTGCCTCTTCTTGCGGCTCCCAATCCCCCAATACTACTACTACTAATAATTGATTACCTGCCTCTCTTTGTGGCTCCCAATCCCCTAATAATAATAATAATAATAATAGAGAGGGATGGAGAGATGGAAGGCCGGCCCCCAATGGGGGTCTCTCTCCAGGCCTACCTGTTGGACCGGCAGACGTTCCTCCCGTTGGGATCCAGGGTCGAGGCGCAGCTCCCGAATTCAGGGCCCAGCGAGGTCTGCAGGGAAAGCAGCAGGAGGAGGAGGAGGAGGAGGGCCCGGGGCCCCATGGCACTGGGAAGGGCCCCTCTTCTCCAAGGCACAGCAGCGGTGGATCCCTCTCGCCCTCCCGACGGAGCAGAGTGGGGCCTTCCTCCTCCCATTTCCTCCTCGGCCTTTTCCTGAGGAAGCCGGCCAGCCAGCGGGGAGGAGGGACGCACAAGAGCACAGCCCGATCCCTCCCAACAGAGGGACATCCAGCCTCTGAGGCTCACAACAACAGCAACAGAATCCTATAGCTGGAAGGGAAGAAAGCCCAACTGCCCTACAGGAGGGCACCACCCAATCCCTCCTGACAGAGGGCCATCCAGCCTCTGAAAATAATAATAATAATAATAATAATAATAATAATAATAATAATAATAATAATAATAATAAATATTAGAGCTGGAAGGGAAGCCCAAAGAAGGCCCCTTTAGGACAGAAAAGTCAACTCCTTTCTGCCCTAAAGGAGAGCACCATCTGATCCCTCCTGACAGAGGGCCATACAGCATCTGAAAATAATAATAATAATAATAATAATAATAATAATAATAATAATAATAATAATGTTATAATAATAATAGAATTCTAGAGATGGAAGCGAAACCCAAAGAAGGTCCATGTAGGGAAGAAAGCCCAACTCCTTTCTGCCCTAAAGGAGGGCACAATCTGATCCCTCCTGACAGAGGGTCATACAGCATCTGAAAATAATAATAATGATGATAATAATAACAATAATAATAAAAAATAACAACAATATAGTTGGAAGAAAAGCCCAAAGAGGACCCTCCAGCCCAACCCCCTTCTGCCATAAAGGACAACATCCAATCTCTCCTGACAGATGGCCATCCAGCCCCTGCTTAATAATAATAATGTTATAATAATAGTAGTAGTAATAATAATAATAATAATAATAGAATCCTGGAGCTGGGAGAGAAGCTCAAAGGAGGCCCCTTCAGTCCAACCCCTTTCCGCCATTAAGGAGGGCACTACCTGAACCCTCTCGACAGAGGGCCATCCAGCCCATGCTTAATAATAACAATTCTGTAATAATAATAGTAATAGTAGTAGTAGTAATAATAGAATCCTAGAGCTCGAAGAGAAGCTGAAAGAGGACCCTCCGGTTCAACCCCTTTCTAGCCTTAAGGAGGGCACCACTCGAACCCTCCCGACAGAGGGCCATCCAGCCCATGCTTAATAATAACAATTCTGTAATAATAATAGTAATAGTAGTAGTAGTAATAATAGAATCCTAGAGCTCGAAGAGAAGCTGAAAGAGGACCCTCCGGTTCAACCCCTTTCTAGCCTTAAGGAGGGCACCACTCGAACCCTCTCGACAGAGGGCCATCCAGCCCATGCTTAATAATAACAATTCTGTAATAATAATAGTAATAGTAGTAGTAGTAATAATAGAATCCTAGAGCTCGAAGAGAAGCTGAAAGAGGACCCTCCGGTTCAACCCCTTTCTAGCCTTAAGGAGGGCACCACTCGAACCCTCCCGACAGAGGGCCATCCAGCCCATGCTTAATAATAACAATTCTGTAATAATAATAGTAATAGTAGTAGTAGTAATAATAGAATCCTAGAGCTCGAAGAGAAGCTGAAAGAGGACCCTCCGGTTCAACCCCTTTCTAGCCTTAAGGAGGGCACCACTCGAACCCTCCCGACAGAGGGCCATCCAGCCCATGCTTAATAATAACAATTCTGTAATAATAATAGTAATAGTAGTAGTAGTAATAATAGAATCCTAGAGCTCGAAGAGAAGCTGAAAGAGGACCCTCCGGTTCAACCCCTTTCTAGCCTTAAGGAGGGCACCACTCGAACCCTCTCGACAGAGGGCCATCCAGCCCATGCTTAATAATAACAATTCTGTAATAATAATAGTAATAGTAGTAGTAGTAATAATAGAATCCTAGAGCTCGAAGAGAAGCTGAAAGAGGACCCTCCGGTTCAACCCCTTTCTAGCCTTAAGGAGGGCACCACTCGAACCCTCCCGACAGAGGGCCATCCAGCCCATGCTTAATAATAACAATACTGTAATAGTAGTAGTAGTAATCGAATCCTAAAGCTGGGAGAGAAGCCCAAAGAGGACCCTCCAGTCCAACCCCCTTCTGCCATAAACGACAACATCCGATCCCTCCCGACAGAGGGCCCTCCAGCCCCTGCTTAATACTAATACTACTACTACTACTAATAACAGGATCCCAGTGCTGGAAGGAAGATGGGCAGGAAGCACCTTTTTCCTGCGGTGTGTGTGCGGCCATTGTCTATAGGCTTCTGCAGGAAACCCTTCCTCCCCCTTGCCCTCCTCCCCCCCCCCCCATTCAAAGAGACGCTCGGACACCGTCACCGGCCTTCCCCGATTCAGTTGGATTTATTGTGTAGACAACAAAGTGCTTGGCTTTCCTTCTTTTGCATTGGGTTTGGGGGCAGCCCAAAAGAAAGACAGAAAGGGGGGAAGAAAGAAAGAAAGAAAGAAAGAGGGAAGCCCCAGAGATAGGTCATGATTTTTGGCTACCATACATCAGATTTCCAGACTCGCAGGGAAGGGGTTTGTATAAAACCGGGGCGCTCGCTGAACGCAAAGTCCGTCCGAAGCGGAAACGGAGTCCCTCCTTTGGGGGGGGGGTCAAGGGGGGGCTGGGGGTCCTCCCGGCCCCCCCTCCCGCTCCTCTCCTTGGGGGAGGCCCAGCTCTTGGGGGTCCACAATCTCCCAGGCGTCCGGGGGGCTGGCCTTGCTCCCTCGGCGGTACCACTGCCCAAAGCTGGGGAGGAAGAAGAAGAAGAAGAAGAAGGCGGCACATTGGGGGGCGTGCAGAAGGCAGCAAAACTCAGGGCGTGTGTGTGTGTGTGTGTGTGTGTGTATAATAAAGCCTGATATTCAGAGATGAATCCCTGATATGACACTTGGGCCACATGTGCATATGTGCTGTGTAGTTATGTACATAGTTATATAAATAAAAAGGTAATGTTCGTTTGTGGGATTATTATTATGATGATTAGCATAACTCCAAAACCACTGGGGGAATTGACACAGAATTTGGACACAAGACACCGCTCAGGCCAACGAGTGACCATCAACCATAAAAACACTGAAGAACACAACAGAAGGGATTTAAAAAGCCAAAAAACAAAAATGCATTACAATGTATGCACAAAACTACATATATACACAAACACACATATATACACATATACACAAACATAGAAATACATACATATACACACACAAAACACACACACACACTCACAAAACACTTATAAACAGACTGGGCCACAGCAACGTGTGGCAGGGGACGGCTAGTCTATATAAATAAGAATGTAATGTTCGTTTGTGAGATTAAAATTGACAAATGGACACCAAATTTGGACACAAGACACCACTCAGGCCAAGGAGTGACCATCACTCATAAAACACTATAAATCACAGGAGAAAAGACTTGAAAAGCCAAAAAACAAACAAATACATTACAACGCATGCACAAAACCATATATCAGCACAAACACACATACACACAAATATATACCCAAGCATATACACATATATATACACACAAAACACATATACACACACAGAAAGGGGGAAGGAAGGAAGGAAGGAAGGAAAGGAAAGAAAGAGGAAAAGAAGGAGGGAAGGAGAGAAAGAAGGAAGGAAAGAAAGGTAGAGAAGGAAGGAAGGAGACAAGGAAGGATGTTGACATCGCAATCCCAGGCAACAGCAGGATTAAAGAGAAACAACTGGAAAAGCTGACACGATGCGAGGATTTAAAGATCGAACTGCAAGGAGTCTGGCACAAGCCACTCAAGGGGGTCCCAGTGGTGGTCGGCACACTGGGTGCAATGCCTCAAGACTTTGGCCTGCACTTAAAAACAATCAGCACTGTCAAAATTACCATCTGCCAGCTGCAAAAGGCCATCCTGCTTGGATCTGCATGCATTACTTGCGGATACATCACCCAGTCCTAGATACTTAGGAAGTATCCGGCGTGTGATCCAATTCAACAGCCAGCAGAGAGTGATCTTGTATATAAATAAAAATGCAATGTTCGTTTGTGGGATTAACATAACTCAAAAACCACTGGACGAATCGACACCAAATTTGGACACAAGACACCTCTCAGGCCAGGGAGTGACCATCACTCATAAAAACACTGGAAAACACAGCAGAAGGGACTTAAAAAGCCAGAAAACAAAATATACATTACAACGCATGCGCAAAACCAGATATATATACACAAATACACATATACACAAATATATACACACAAAAATCACATATACACAGACTGGGACACAGCAACGAATGCTAGGGGACAGCTAGTAATAAGTAATAATATATAATATAACAATATTTAATGTAATTATCATAATAATATAGAATAATAATAATAATAATAATATAGTATCTCTAATACGCGAGGCCCTTGGGAAGAGCCCGATACTCAGAGACGAACCCCAGACACTTGGACCTCATGTGCATGTGTGCTGTGTTGTTATGCACATGTAAATAAAATAATTATATAATACTATAATAATATAATAATTATTATATTACAATACATAATAATAATATTATAATAATACATATCTAATACCCTAGGCCTAGGCCCTTGGGAAGAGCCTGATATTCAGAGACGAACCCCAGACACTTGGACCTCATGTGCATTATTTAGATATATTAAATAATATGATAGTACTGATGGCAATAATAATAATAATAATAATCATCATCATCATCATAATGCTAGGCAAGAGGGCCTTACAAGCTCTTGATTGTGGATCCAGGGAGGCGGCTGTCCACGCAGTCGGAGGAGCCGGGGGTCCCTGCCGGCCACTCTCCTTCCTCCTCCTCTTCCTCCTCCTCTTCCTCCTCACTGAAGGAAAGAGAGACGCATCAGAGGATCAGAGAGGATGGGAAGACCGGTCAGGCCTCCTCTGCGTGGAGAAGGTGGGGAGATGCCACCACTGGGATTCTGGGCTGCATCAGAAGTGTCCAGATGGAGGGAAGGAGCCCTGGCGCCTCCCTCTTGCAGAGGCTGGATGGCCATCTGTCGGGGGGGCTTTGGTGGTGCTTTGGGGGTTGGACTAGATGGCCCTTGGGGTCTGACCCAATGACGGGAAGCGGGCTGACCTGCTGAGGGGCTCCTCGGCCGTGCCCAGCATCTTGGCCCGGATCTTCTTGCGCTGCCTGCGGACGTTGGCCTTGGCGGCCTCCAAGAGCAGGCTGGGGATGCGCCCGTGGCTCAGGAGCTCCCTGCTTGGGGAAGGAAGGAAGGAAGGAAGGAAGGAAGGAAGGAAGGAAGGAAGGAAGGAAGGAAGGAAGGAAGGAAGGAAGGAAGGAGAAGAAGGAAGGAAGGGTGGAAGGAGAAAGAGGAAGGGAAAAAGGAACGAAAGGCTAAGCGGCCCCCCTCCCTCCCCCCCCCCCCCCCGGCCAAGACTGACCGCTGGTAGTAGGCCAGCTCCTCCTGGACCAAGAAGAGGCTGGTCTTGAGCTCATTGCGCTCCTCCAGGATCTGGCGCAGCTCCTCCCGGGAGAACGTGTTCCCGGCACGGCCCGGAGCCCCAGGCGAGGCCGCGCTCTCCTCCGCCTCAGAAAACGAGGGAAAGATCATCCCATTAGCCAAGTTACAAATACCCAGTAATACGACCCAAAGGAATGCACGTGAGTTGGGTTTTTAAAATCTAGGGAATGTTTACATTTGTGTTTTTCCTAGTTTTGTACTCTGTGTGTCGCGGGTTTTATATTTATTTTATGTTTTGGTCTGAAGATGTCTGTTTATTCTGATTTGTTTGCATGTTGTTTGCCGCTTGAGTTATTTATAAATAAACAAATAAACAAATAATCTAATCATATTCAAAAAGTGTGATGGAAGTAAATAAATAATCTAATCATATTCATAATAAATGTTACGAATACACACACAGTAATGATCTCATAAGAATACATTTCAAAAATTCACACTCAGTAACGATCTAATAATAATAATAAAAGCTCACTCAGTAATGATCTAATAATAATAATAATAATAAGATCTCACTCGGTAATGATCTCATAATAATAATAATAATAATAAATTACAAATTCAAACTCATTAATGATCTAATAATAATAATAATAATAAAATTCTCACTCAGTAATGATCTCATAATAATAATAATAATAATAATAATAATAATAATAAATGACAAATTCAAACTCAGTAATGATCTAATAATAATAATAATAATAATAATAATAAATTCTCACACTATGATCTAATAATCATAATAAAATCTCACTCAGTAATGATCTCATAATAATAATAATAATAATAATAATAATAAATGACAAATTCAAACTCAGTAATGATCTAATAATAATAATAATAATAAAATTCTCACTCAGTAATGATCTAATAATAACAATAATAATAAATTACAAATTCACACTCAGTAAGGATCTAATAATAATAATAACAAAAATTCTCACTCTATAATGATCTAAAAATAATAATAATTTACAAATTCACACTCAGTAATGATCTAATGCATACTCACTCAGTAATATGAAAATAACAATAAGATATATTACAAATACACACTCACTAATGATCTAATAATATATTACATATGCAATTCTTATTAATAATAATAAGAAGAATAAAATTGACAAACACACTCTGTAATGATCTAATACTGACAATAATAACAACGCATGCGTACTGATGCAGCCTAGAACCGCACTGGTCTATTACAATGAGTAGTAGTAGTAGTGGTAGTGGTAGTGGTAGTAGTGGTGCCTCCTCACCTGGGCTGCCGGTGGCTGTGGGGCCTGGTGGGCGCTGGGGAGCTCCTGTGCCTGGCGCAGCTCCCCCTCCAGGTCCTGCTTCCGCTCCAGGGCGCTCCGCAGCTGGGCCTGGGCCACCGCCAGCTTCCGGTGCAGCTCCTGGTTCATGGCCAGGAAGCGCTCCAGTTGCTCCTGCAGCTGAGGACAGAGAGGCGGTCAGCTGGTCAGTGGGAGCCCCACGAGGCCCAGGGCAAGCAGCATCACCATCGTAATTTGTTGATTTCGTGTCAAAAGATTTAAACTGATGGATGGTTATCTTTACAGTAGTTATAGATATCTTTCTGGGCATTAGGAAGTTGGTGTTGTTAGGCAATAATAATAATAATAATAATAGTAACGATGATGTTTCTTCTTACTGCCTCGGTGTCCCTGGCTTTGCAGTGGATCTCGTGAGCCTGGGCCCGGATCTCGTCCCGCTGGCGGTCCACCACCTCCTTCAGCCGCAGCATCACCTCCCGCTCCTTCCGCAGGGCGCTCTCTGCACATGGGCAGAGGAAGGAGAAAGAGAGAGAGAGAGAGGGAGAGAGAGAAGAGGTCAGGCACCCCATAACACCAAGGAGAGGCCCCTGTGGATCATGGCCAGGCCCAAAGACGGGGCTTGGGTGGACTTCTGTGGGGTTCATCCACTCCAGGACTGTTCCGAGGGGGCCACCTCCTGGTTTTGGAGGGAACCGTGTTTTGTAAACATCATCATCATCATCATCATCATCATCATCATCATATAATATGTCAATTTGTCCAGTGGTTTTTGAGTTCTATGAATACCAATATTAATAAATACAGTAAAATAATAAATGTAATAACAATAGAGTAAAATGATAACTGTAATAATAACAATAATAGAGAAAAATAATAAATGTAATAAAAATAATAAATGTAATAAAAATAATAAATAGAGAAAAATAGTAAATGCAATAATCTATATAAATAAAAATGTAATGTTCATTTGTGGGATGAACAGAACTGAAAAACCAGTGGGCCAATTGACACCAAATTTGGACACAAGACACCTAACAACCCAATTTATGTCCTTCACACACACAAAAATTGATTTTGGCATTTGGGAGTTGTAGTTGCTGAGATTTATAGTTCACCTACAACCAAAGAGCATTCCGAACCCCACCAATGATGGAATTCAACCAAACATGGCACACAGAACTCCCTTGACCAACAGAAAATAATGGAAGGGTTTGGTGGGCATTGACCTTGAGTTTGGGAGTTGTAGTTCACCTACATCCAGAGAGCACTGTGGACTCAAACAATGATGGATCTGGACCAAACTTGGCATGAATACTCAATATGCCCAAATGTGAACACTGGTGGAGTTTGGTGAAAATAGACCTCCGCTGTTACACCAGCTCCACTGGCTGCCGATTAGCTTCCAAGCACAATTCAAAGTGCTGGTGTTAACCTATAAAGCCCTAAACGACTCCGGCCCTGTTTACCTCTCCGAACGTATTCTCCCCTACGAACCATCAAGACCACTAAGATCGTCTGGAGGGGCCCTGCTCTCGGTCCCTCCGCCTGCACAAGCACGGCTGGTGGGGACGAGGGACAGGGCCTTCTCGATGGTGGCCCCTCGACTTTGGAACTCCCTGCCATTAGAGATCAGAACTGCCCCCTCCCTCATGACGTTCAGGAAACTAACAAAGACCTGGTTGTGGAACGCGGCATTTGACAACTGATTTAATTCTTTGCCCACAGGAAAGGAGGATGATGAATGGGATTGTGATGGTGTCGGACGATTTGGCTCTTTTAACTGGGATGATAATGTTTTAATGTGTATGGTGCTGATATTTTAATCGTGTAATGAAGTGGCATTGTGTTGTTATTGTCTATTCTTTGTATGTTAACACATGTTGTGAACCGGTCCGAATCCCTCTTTGAAGGTGAGAGGGTCGGCATATAAAACCTCGAAATAAATAAATAAATAAAATTTGGGAGTTGTAGTCGCTGGGATTTATAGTTCCCTGCCTTAGGGCGGGGGGGGGGGGGATGCTTTGCTGGGAGAAAGACCACTTGTCTGTTGGAGGCAGGTGTGAATATTGCCATAGGCCACCTTGATTAGCACTGAGTGGCCTTGCAGCTTCAAAGCCTGGCTGCTTCCTGCCTTGGGGCGGGGCGGGGGGGGATCCTTGTTTGGGAGGTGTTAGCCGGCCTGGGAGAGATGGGGGATGCAGGGCGCCTCTCCCCCAGCGGCCTGGCCAAGGGTGGGCTCCTGCAGAGGCGGCTGGGCTCTCAGGCCAAAGGAGACCCCAATAGAGCCAAATCAGGGTTTCTTGTGGTGCTTACCTCCGCCTGGGGGGCTGTCCCGGCGCTGCTGGGCCTGGAGCTGGGTGTTCTCCTCCGGACAAGGGGCCTCCTCCTCCTCTTTCTCCTCCTCCGCCTGGCACTGCTGAGGGGAGACAGGTGGGTGACGGAGCGCCGCAGGGGACAAAAAAGGCTCTCCCTGCGAAGCCCCCGCCCTCCAGCCAATGGGAAACGTCCCTCTTCGACCCAAAGGGGACCTCAGCCAATCAGAAACCTCCGGAGAAGAAACTAAACAGATACGGAGGGCCCCAGGGGACATTAGAACTCACCTGCTAAGCGGTCTGTTGCTTTATTCGACCCAAACAGGTCCCCAGTCAATCAAAAAGCGTCCCTTTTCTACCCAGAGATCTCCAGCCAATCAAAAAGCGTCCCTTTTCTAATCAAAGAGGACCTCTGCCAATCAAAAAGCGTCCCATTTCCACCTAGAGATCCTCAACCAATCAAAAAGCGTCCCTTTTCTAATAAAAGAGGACCCGGCCAATCAAAAAGCGTCCCTAATTATTTGCCATATTTATTTGTTTATCATATTTATTGTATTTTTATTTATTTATAATTTATCATTTTTATTTATTTATTTACCATATTTATTTATTGATGTATTTATTTATTTCTCGTATTTATTTTTTATTTATAATGTCATATTTATTTATCATTTATTTATTTATAATATATTTATCATTTTTATTCTAATTCATTTTGCCATATTTATTTATTTATCATTTTTGTTTACCTATTTATTTATTTAACCATATGTATTTAGTTATTTGTCGTATTTATTTATCGCTTTTATTTATTGTGTTTTTATTTTTTTATAATATATTTATCATATTTATTTCCCATATTTATCATATTTATCTATTTATTTATATTTATTTCCCACATTTATTTAGTTATTTCTCGTATTGATTTATTATATTTATTTATTTCTCGTTTTCATTTATTTATGTCATATTATATTTATTTACCATATTTATTTATTTATCATATTTATCTATTTATTGATTTACATTTATTTATCATATTTATTTATTTCTCTTATTAATTTTTATTTATGACCAAACAGCTCCCCAGCCAATCAAAAAGCGTCCCTTTTCTACCCAGAGATCTCCAGCCAATCAAAAAGCGTCGCTTTTGTAATAAAGAAGACTTCAACCAATCAAAAAGCGTCCCTTTTCTAATCAAAGCGGACCCCAGCCAATCAAAAAGCGTCCATTTTCTAAAAAAGGCGACCTCAGCCAATCAAAAAGCGTCCATTTTCTACCTAGAGATCCTCCACCAATCAAAAAGCGTCCCTGTTCTAATCAAAGTAGACTTCAACCAATCAAAAAGCGTCCCTTTTCTACCTAGAGATCCTCCACCAATCAAAAAGCGTCCCCTTTCTAATGCAAGCCAATGAAAAGCGTCCGGGATAGAAACTGAAGAGATACGGAGGGCCCGAGGGGACATAAGTGTTGTATTCCTTTATCCTACCGACAGGGGTCCCCAGCGAATGAGAAAAGTGTCCCGCTTCTAAGTTGTCCGGGATAGAAACTGAAAGGAGATACGGAGGGCGCGAGGGGACATAAAGGGTTCTATTCCTTTATCCTGCCGACAGGGGTCCCCAGCCAATCAGGACAGTCCAAAGGGGTCCCCAGCCAATCACAAACCGAGGCGGTACGGGGTCTCGGGAGGGACAGAAGAGCCCACCTGCTCCGCGAGGGCGGCCCTGAGGCCTGGCTTTTCCCGCGCCCAGGCCTCGAGTAGTTCGAGGAGGCGGACCACTTGGGCGACCAATCCGGCCACGGCGTCGGGGCCCACCAGGGCTGAGAGGCGCTGCAGCTCCGAGCCCAAGGAGCCCGCCAGGCGGTAGACAGGGTCCGCGGACCGGGAGCAGGGCGGAGGCGCGCGCGGCCGAGGGGACTCCATCCGGGACACTGGCCGGAGCGCCTCGGGACACTAAGGGGGCGGGGCTCAAGCAGGCCACGCCCCCTCCCAGAGCAAAACAAACCCTGGGCCGACTTGGGCCCTCCCTCCGGGTGTTTTGGACTACAACTCCCAGAATTCCTCGCCTCAGGCCCCTTCCTTTTCCCGCTCAGTAAATAGATAAATAATAAATATAAGTAAAAAAAAGATGGTTAATAAATAAAAATGATATAAATAAAAATAAATACGAGAAATTGAATACATATGATAAATAAATATGACAATTAACTAAATAAATGAGACGTGATGGATTTGTTATATTGATGTTTGCTGTTTAATTAATGGTTTACCCAATACCAAGTCCTAGGAGCCCTTTAGCAGAACCAAGGTCATTGCCCTTCCCTTATCATCCTACGTTCCTCCGGCCACTTCAGCACTTTTCATCCTGTTCCCACTACTCTGGCCAGCCCAGTTTTAAAGTGTCCTGACGCATTGTTATTGTTTGTTGTTTACTTTGCTTAACTGTTTTTAATTTGCTTTGATATTGTTTTGTTGTATTGTGTTTGAGGCTCCGGCCAGTGTAAGCCGCATCGAATCCTTTGGGAGATGCTAGCGGGGTACAAATAAAGTTATAATAATAATAATAATACTACAGCTTTAAATGTCCAATGATTTTGTACCATGTATATTGAAACTGTGTTGTAAACCGCTCCGAGTCGCCTAAGGGCTGAGAAGAGCGGTATACAAATAAAGTAAATAAATAAAATAATAAATAAATAAATGTAAATAAATATATGACATTATAAATAAAAATAAATAAAAACAAGAAATAAATAAATATAATAAATAAATCAATATGACAAATAACTAAATGTGGTAAATAAATAAATATGATAAATAGATAAATATGATAAATATGGTAAATAAAAAATTGTAAATATATTATAAATAAAAAATACAATAAATAAAAATGATAAATAAATCAATATGACAAATAACTAAATAAAAATGATAAATAAAAAATAAATAGATAAATATGGTAAATAAATAAATATGACAAATAACTAAGTAAACATGGTAAATAAATATGAGAAATAAATCAATATGGCAAATAAATAAAAATAATAAATAAATATATTATAAATAAAAATATGCTAAATCAATATGACAAATATGATATAAATAAAAATGATAAATATGAGAAATAAATAAATATGAGAAATAAATAAATATGAGAAATAAATAAAAATATGAGGAGAGGGACAAGAAGGAGAGGGTACAACACCAATAACTTTGTACAAAACCTTTATTTCAACGACACTGGGAAAGGGGCAGAGACACTGTACATGACAACGCACAATCCCTCCACAGCCACACTATGTGGAAAGAGGAAATGAGGGGGTGAAATGCTGAGGAGTAACTCTTCTTTAAGGAAAGGAGAAACAAAGGGGGTGCTTCTTGTTGTTGTTGTGGGTCAGCCTCAGGAGTAGAGATCCTCGCGGTCGGCGGAGTAGACCTCCCCTTCCTGGAGGAGGGCGAAGTTGAGGAAGTGCGAGGGGCGGTGGACCTCGTGGTAGAACTCCTTGGGGTTGGCCAACTGCAACTCGTACTTCATGTTGGGGTCGTGGCGCACGCCTGGGAAAAAAGGGGGTCAAACAAGGGGGCGTTATGAGGAGACAAGAAGGAGTAAGGTCCCAAGGAAGGGCCTCTCTCTCTCTCTCTCTCTCTCTCAATCTCACCCATGAAGTTGTAGTTCCAGGAGCCCTGGGCCGGGACCATGAAGAAGCCCAGGAAGCGGTCCGAGAGCAGCATCTGGACCCGCTCGTAATGGGAGGGCAGGTAGCCCTTGGGGTTGTTGCCCTTGTCCGTGTTCTGCCGGCCCCATTCGTAGCCGCTGGGAGTCAGCTTGTAGGCCGTCAGGGTGCAGGAGCCGGGCGTGAAGCTGCGCAAAAGGAAAACAAGAGGCAAGGGAGTCAGTTCAGCCCGCCAGAAAGCCCTTCACCCCGCACATTTATTTATTTACTGTATTTGTGTACCACCCCTGTTCTGTCGCCGCTGGGCTTGAAACGAAGTGCTTTTATCACAGGACGTGCAACTTTAGCCCAACAGGAAGCCAGGGGACCCGAAAAGAAGCCTTTAGAGAATTTTCCCTCATTAAACAGTCTTTAGGAGGCTTGAGCTTAAATACAACAGTCTTTTATTGATGAACAATTAAACAGAAACTTCCTCTGTCTTCAAAATTAAACAAATGCTTCCAGGCTTCAAGCAACTGGTGGCTTCTAACTGTTTCTTTGCTTTATTTTCAAGGAAAATCCCCTTTCTGGCTCCTCCTTAGGCTACTGTGAACCTAAACCTGACTGATTTGAATCCACTACCGGCTGAACTGCGTCTCAGAACCGAGCAGACGTACCAGCAGGCCTGTAGTCACTTAGCTGGAGATCTTGACAATTAGAGCTGTTATTCCCTCCGGAATTCCTCCGGGCTGTAAGGCTGTTTCCCCGGAACCTTTGGGAATCTTTAGAGGCTTAAGACTGTTCTCCCCTGAGAAGTCTTAAGGGTTGAAGCCTTTGTACAGGAGAATGTCTGTACACATCCTGCACATTGGCTTCCTTTGCTGAGGCTAACTGAAAAATGGCCCCTTCCCTCCAAAAACCCAAAAAGGGGCGGGACCAGGGAACCTAACTATAATTGACAGGTGGCTTGCCCTATGAATGCAGCCTGAAGAAACCACCTATCTGCAGAGTCCCTGAAACTTAGGACTATAAACAAACACTCAGTGCAAAGCAAATTTGGAGCTCCTGGAACAGCTGTTCCAGAACAACCCCTCTCAGCCTTTCGGCAACTCGAGGCAGAATTCCATGCCACAAAAACACAAGTACAATTTAAAAACATTAACATCAACACAGATAAAATCATAACAACAGCAACAAAACATAAGCCAATAAAACCTCATTTAAAAAAAAACCTGTCCATTTCCATCGTACATATCCTGTTGGAATTCATTCCTAATCCTGGCACAAGGTGGTAGTCCTCATTGAGCATGCGCATATATATACACACACACACACACACACACACATACAATGTTAACAGCAAGAATGTTTAAATGGTCAAATGCAAAATTACAAAGTCTTTGTTGACTTTGTTGTAAACAACTTATAAAAACATTACAAAATATTTAAAAACTAAAAACTGCTGCTATTGTTGCTGATTGATATTTTAAAAATATTTTAAACCCGCCGGCAAGCCCTTCACCCCACACATCCTGTTGGAACACATCGCCAATCCTGGCAACAAGGTGGTAGTCCTCATTGAGCATATATATATGTATGTATGTATACACACACACAAAAGCAATGTTAGCAGCAAGAATGTTTAAAACTTTGAATGCACACACACACACACACACACACACACACACATATATATATATATATAAAGGTAGTCCCCTGACATTAAGTCCAGTCATGTCTGACTCTGGGACTCTGGTGCTCATCTCCATTTCTAAGCCAAAGAGCCAGCGTTGTCCGTAGACACCTCCAAGGTCATGTGGCCGGCATGACTGCATGGAGCGCATATATATATATACACACACACAAACAAGCGGCAAGAATGTTTAAATTCTCAAATGCAAAATTACAACTTTTTTTTTACTTTGTTGTAAACAACTTATAACAAACATTACAGAAAACTGTTGTTGCCAATTAATATTTTAAAATAATTTTTCCTGTTATGGAAATTTCTGGCTTGGGTGATTTGAAAGTGTTGGGTCTGTGTGGCAAGTTTGGTCCAGATCTGCCATTGGTGGGATTCACTATGCTCTCTGGATGCAGGGTGAACTACAACTCCCACCAGTGGCCATAGAAAAGAATAGGAAAGGGTTGGTGGGAGCTGGAGCTTGTGTAAGCAGACACACACTTACACACACAATGTACAGATTTTCACTTGCATTATGTGGATAGATAGATAGATAGGTAGATAGAAGATAAAAGATTCACTCCCCTCCCCCGGACTTGTGCCTGACCTGCAGGTGATGATGATGGTCTTCTCCCCATCCCAGGAGGGGTTCTCAGCCATGACCTTGGCGTGGGTGGTGACGTCCTGCGGGGAGAGCTGCGGGGACTCGTTGGGCTGAGTGTGGATCCAGCCCAGGGGCTCCATTTCCTGCACCGAGAGGTTCCAGGTCAAGAGGGGTGACGGCCACGCAACTCCCCGCCTTTAGAACGGCAGGACCCCCCCCCCCCGGCTTTGGCCCACGAGCCCCACCTTGAGGTACTCATGTTGGGGCAGCTGCCCTGGCAAGTGGACCGTCTGGTGGGTCCCCCACTGCGGCACCATCACGATGCAGCGGATCTCCTTCACCTGAGGGTTGTCTGGCGGGCTCACCCCATACAAGTAGCCAGCAATCTGGGGGGAGAAAGGAGGAAGTGGGCCCACATCAAGGCGAGGGACGAGACTCCCCTAAAGCCTGCCCTCTCCCTATTCAGCAAAGCTTTGCAGCATGTAAATATCATAATATTAATATAGTAATATGTAATAAAAATATAATACCTCTAATATCATAGGCCCTAATGTGTACGTGTGCTGGGCTGTTATGAACATGTAAATTTAGTAATAATAATATATAATAAATAAAATAATAATTATTATAATAAATATAATAACAATAACTATAATAATAATCAAATAATACCTCAATAATCAATAATACCTCTACTATCCCAGACCCTTGGGAGGAGCCCAATATTCAGAGACGAAGCCCAGACACTTGGACTTAGTGTGCATGTTGTACTGTGTGGTGGTTTACATGTAATAATAATAATAGTAATAATAATATGGGAGGAAAACAAGGCGCATTGAGGCCAAGTCCAGCCCACCCCCATGTAAACAAAAAGATGGGCAAAGGCTCGGATGGGAAAAGGGCTGGAAGCGGCAAAGAAGGAGAGTTGGCACTCCGTTTTAGAGTGACGATCCGGAATTTCCCCGGAAGCAGCTGGGACTTGATGCCTCCTGTTTTCCCCCAAAGGCAGCCCATCCCTA